TACCAATGTGTAAAAAAAGGGGGGGGAAAAAAAAAAAAAAAAAAAAAAAAAAAAAAGAGAGAGAGAGAGAGAAGCCAAAAAAAGGAAAAGTAAGTATATGTGAAGTTGGGTCTTACTCAGCATATATCCAAAATATGGTGCGAAGCCTAGGAGTCACAGGGGAAAAAACATTTCACACTGATCTTACAATTAAAGTCTATTAGTCTATTTATCTAGTTATTTGTTTAAAAGTAACACATTTTCTTTCTTGTACATGATATGAAAATTTTCTTTACACTGTGAAACTGATAACTAAGAAATAATTTAATAGTCCTAGAAGGTGTTTTGTTTTGTTTTGTTTTGTTTTTTTCCAAAAAAATGTGTCTCAAATTTCCAGTCTTGTTCTTGGATCATTACACAGCACAAGACAGTACACAGTAATTACCATTCATACCATGAGCGGGTGCTGTATTCTGAGCAGAGTGTATCAGTTGGTTTGGCCAGGCAAGCGCTCCTTGCAAAATTCCATATCATATGCCCACTTTTTGGCTTTTACGATCCCAAGATGTTGCTACTGCAACATGGGGCAAATCATTACTTAATATAGATGGTGGCTACCGCTTGTTTTAAGGATGTGCTTTAAGCAAGCTTAAAGACCCTAACTCTCTATTGCTTGTCAGCTTCAATAGCCGTTTGCACTCAGGCTTGTAAATATGGAATTTCTTGAACAAGGGTGGAGGGACAGCACTTTACCAAGGGATAAAAGATGTTTTCTTACCTAAGTGCTCTTATGCTGGATTTTCCCTTTACTAAGGAAAAGAATCTGGCTATTTCCCAAATCTAAGGGAGCACTTAAAATATTTTGGGAGGCAGACATAAGTGTAAGACTGACTAGGCCAGTAGTAGCTCTCACCACCCAACTCAACACTGAAATGGTATTCCTTTAAACACTGTATTTTCTGTTCATGTGGCATATTAATGGCAAAATTCACTCTTCAAGAATTTGTGGAGCTCATTTATCTATTTATTTGCACACAAATATCAGTCATTTGGGGAATTCATTTATCTATTTATTTTTCTGCACACAAAGAACTTCAGTTAGTCTGCAATACCTAGCCATATTGCTCAGGGGAATATTTAAATCTGCTCTAGTTGTGCTCAACTATCATAACACAAATTGTAAAATCAGACAATTATGTTTCACATTACAATCTCTAGTCTCCTAGAGGTAATGACAGAATATTATAAATTTTAATTACATTAATGATTTAAAGAGCCAAAAGAGATTTCCAGAAAGTACGTGCCTGAGAAAACTGGAGGATTAAACTGAACAGCAATGAAGATGAGGATGCTCATAGAGACAAGCTACAGACTTATGTGGAATTTTTGCATTAGGATCAATACTATTTGTTGGGTTAGTCTAATTCCCCTCAATGCGTTATCTGCATCTATAAAAGGACACTTGTTCACTTGCTGAAAACCCAGAAAACTTCCTTTGATTAACTGTTTTTAAAAACTTTCACAACAGCTCACCCTGTAGATAGATTTATTCAACTTTAACATTATGCCGGCTTCTTTGCATCACACATGAACAGATACACACACACATATATATATATGTAGGATTAATCCTTTAAGGCAAGGGCACAATCCATTTTTCATAGCACTGAAAATGTTCTAATACAAGCCTGCATGGCCACCTGTCCAACTCCCACCCTTATTGTCCTCCCCCACATCCAACATCATCTCACTTCTCTTCCTTTTACCTGATGCTCCAAAAAATCTCTACAGGGAGGTATGTATAATTTAATTGAATTGGCACTATTTCTAGATACAAGGACTCTGCCGTGGGTGTCTAGACGTCTTTTTCAAATCGTAGCAAGTGCCTATACAGTAAAAGATCCACTGATTTAACAAAATGTTGTTCCATACTGTAAAGTCACTATCTCAGGAAACAAATGAAAAGCACAAAAAATAATAGTTAGCAAAAACCAGACAAAACAAAAAAAATCACCATTGATTTTAATGTGGATTTCACTGATAAAACAACTTGCCAAAGTTTATCTAACCTTGCTCCTACCTAGCTAGGACTGCTTCTATGTAGTTCAAGATCATTGGAATTAGTTCAATTCTGAACCCTACAAATTTATTTGAGGAGGATGCAGTTACACACGCAATACATTTCATGTGTATATATACCTTTCAAGCATATATAAAGAAAATTATACATCTTTGTGAAAATAAATAAATAGATAAAAATTCTGCAGTGTCAAAGATAGCAGCCAAGAGTAAAGATTTCTTTGGGCAGCTAGTAAATACAGAGTACTTAGGATATAATTGGAATAAATTGTGATTGTAAATTTTTAACTTTTGAATTGAAATATGTAATTTGCTAAATCTTAACAAATTTTCCACAGTGTTTTCCTTGTATTTTATTCAATATTTGCACTTTGAATGCTTGCCCTACTTGCACTATCATCAAAAAGGCTGCTTTTTTCAAGAAAAAATAAGACACAGGAAGTGTAACTTCTTATTAAACACAAGCACCATTACACAGACTGATGTTTAAAAAAGAAAAAAATCTTGGCGCTTATGTATGTAGAGACAGACTGCACAGAATTCCACTCTATCAGACAATCCTGGTTCTACCCAAGTAAGAATGAAGCCAAAACAATTTGCACAGGCTCGTGTGTCTAACTGTTGAACACCCAAAGTGTGTATAACACAGGAATTTCCAAGAAAAAAGAGATTATTCCAGACAAAGTGAAGAACAAACATTGCATTCATAAGGGATCTTTCTTTTGAAGTCAAAAGCTTCCCCAAGATTACTCTGCAAGCCCTTCTCTAGAAAAACACTGTTCATCATGCATTATCTAACACCTTTCTATATGTTACCCTTGAGGAAAAAGTAGTTTGCTGAGATAGAATGTATCTGATAATTACTATTCCATTTTCTGCTACTTTTTCTCAACCTTTGAAAAATATTTTATAGAGGAAAATAAGAAAGAAGTGCCCAGATGATGGCTGAGAAGCCATTTGATTCTCAAATCAAGAGGATGAGGTAACTACAGATACACTGGGCATGTCTGACGAGGTGAAAGGAAAGAAAACAACTATTGGTAGAAGCAGTGGAGCTGCAGGATAGAAATGGAAAGTAAGAAATATGTCACACCAGGAGAGACATGATGGGAC